TGCTGCTGCTGCTGCTGCTGCTGCTGCATGGCTGCGTCAGAGAAGCAGCCGCGGCAAACACACGCACGTACGCAATCGATCTGCGCCGCCATGCAGATAAAATCACGAACACATGTAGGACTCAATACTCACGTACTCACGACTGCTGATGAATGCGCTCACTGACTTAGCGCCATGCGCTGCGCCAAAGTTGGGGACGTGAGAATAACGATCGATTGATTACGGGTACTTGCGTGCATGCAAGCATGCAAGCATGATGCTTTCGTGCACTCGTGACTCTCGTCCTTTGATCTCGCTGCTCCCTGGAGCCACACAAATACCTTCGTCGTGTCTACCGTATATACCACCACCGGACACCTTCCACGGAGCTGCATAGGCGAATTCAGCATCTGCACCAAGTCAAGGCGAAGGTCCACGCCTCGGAGCGCTTACACAGCTGGGCGTCGCTTGGTGTCACGGATCGCGGCTCGAGACAACAAGCCGGCCTTTTCGATACACCATCCAGCATCTTTATCTACTGCATCAACCCAGACTTTCCTTGGGCCACTCATGAGCGCAAGGCCTTCCAACCTCTGAAAAGAGTGCAGAGGCGCATACGCATGGCCGTCGTGGGATGGTGACCAGCTTGCCTCCACCTTTGTCGGCTCGTCGGGTCCGCTTCCCCTTTGCGCCTCGACTCTGAGCTCGAAGCACGCGCTCAAGCATCTGTCGCGGCCGGCTCTACGACAACACAGCGTTGCGCACTAAGAGCGCAGGACTCACATGGACGACCAGAAGATGTCGGCGCATCGCGATGCGTGGATGGACACGGATAAGGCGGACAAGGCTTCGCCCGCCGGTCAAAGCTCAGATGGGATCGGCTCGCTGAAGAGCAGTCCCCGCATGGACCCTGTCCCAGCCGGATCGGAAGGGGCGCGACCGTACAGAAGCCGGAAGGAGCGTCCGTGAGTCTCGACCGCGACGCGCTGGATAAAACCCCAAGCCAAAGTCTTGGTGCGACGGTGCGCGAGGTGCTGACGTTTCTCGCGCGCTTACCGCCTCACGCTTCGAAAGGTGCGACCTTTGCCGCCGACGAAAAGGTGAGCGAAGCATTTCCTCCTGTTGTACGTTCTTTAATAACCTCGTCTGCCTCCACGCTAGGGAGGTGCATCATCGAAGAAGTAGGTCAGAGATGTCAGGCTTGCAACGCAGCTGGCAAAGACTGCACGTGAGTTCCATCACATCTTGGTCCTGGCAGCGCCGCCCCAACGAGCGCCGCAGCAGCAGTGGCGATGGCGCTGGTGCCCTCCGATGAAAGTGGAGGCAGTCCGGTTACTCGGCAACGAGCCTGACTCGTCATCACCTTTCTCACTCTGCCTCTCCTACCATGACATTCCACCAGTTTCCAGATGGACCCTACGCCGAGAAGCCGACCAGATAGAGATGGACGATCACAGAGCAATGAAGGTCGCCTTCACATCGATGCTGGTAGCTATGCCTTCGATTGGGCAGGCCGTGCCCGCTCCATATCTGGCCCATCCGAAGTGGAGCATCGCATCGGACAGGGGACATTCGACTCACCGCTTGGCAGCCACGCAAGCCGGGTCCCTGGCCCGTGTGGAGTGAGGCCGCCGCACTACACGCACCACGTCGAGATGCCGCCACCTCAACCTTATCTGCCGCATCATCCTTCCTTGGTCCTGCCTAGCAGGGTGAAGAGTCCGCCAGTGCGTCGATACCAGCCTTATCCGAGGCAACTCACTCCTCCTCCGTCGGCAGCGCCGCCCCCCCGTCGCTTCTGGGACTATCGATCTTCTCTCCCCTACCCGGCAACATCGCAACGGATGAATCCACCGCGCCTAAGCATAGGATCTCAAGGCGAAGCGCCAGATGTCGACATGGAACCAGTGTATCGTCCGGAGGTTCCGCAGCGTTTCCATCCAGCGCCTACAGCACATGGACGCTCTCCACGTCACACCGCAGAGTCGGCATCTGTAGGTGAGATGCAGTCTTCAAAGCTGTCTCCTTCGCAGACTTCGAATCCAGGTCAGCCGACTTCTTACAGTGACGCATTCCGGCCAACCAACTTGAGCGACCAACAGCGAGGCATCGTCGGTCGTACATGGGCATCCCAGCGAACTTCAGCGCCGCGCCGGAGTACAGCATCAACCGAGCAGCACCAACAATCCGCAGGCATCGATCATCTGCACTCCCTCGTTGCTGCTATGGTCGAAGGTGAGGAGCTCGCACGCGATGACACGAGTGGCAGCGGCGAGTCCGACCTGGCTGCTGGGCGCGGTGCACAGGAAAGACGTGAAGATCTTGCGCCTTTTCTTCTCGGCTCGAGCTCCTCGGAAGATCCTGTGCTGTTGCGACAGGCTTCATCTCCCAGTGCCTCGCCCCAGAATGAGCTGGTCCCGCTGCGGGATGCTGCCTCACGTCAACAACATGGCTCGCAGATGAGTCGTCAAACATCTCAGCAGCGGCACAAAGCACCGTCTCGCGTGCGACTGGTCACGAAAGACCCGAAAAGACCAGTCTACTTTTCCTTCATGGCGAGTCAACCTTATGACAAGATGATGAGCAAATCCGAGTCGCAAAAGATTGTGGAAGCGAAACTTCTAGAGCTGCGACGCAGCATTGGAGCCAAAGTGGCGCCACTCATGGTCTGGTATGCCCAGCGAGACAGCGCAGCTTTTCCCTTGCTCACTACCACGCAACGAAGGACGTTTAGGAGGGCCGCTCTGCAGGCTGTAAGCACGGTACGCAACAAAGGTGCAAGCGCAGCAATGGGCATCAATGTACCGCTTCCGACAGTCCTAGCAACCGCCGCACTCGCGACAAGCTTAGTGTACGACAAGACGTTGAGGGCAACATCAAAGGACGCTTGGGGCGCAAATTTAAACGCGCTGATCGAACAATTCAATTCGACCACGCTGGTCACACTTCAGGTAGCATGTGCAGACCTTGCTGGACGACCATCCATCAACACGAGCGGCAACATGATGAGCTTGATGCAAGCGGTCGGAACAGCGCACATGCTGGGTCTTCACTTGGATCCGACGAGCTGGGCCCTTTCCCGAGAAGAGCGCGACGTCCGCATCAGGATCTGGTGGGCAATAGTCATTCATGACAAGTGGTCTTCATTGTGTTGGGGCAGACCGAGCGTCATTCACAAGCAAGACTTCAGCGTGCCGCTTCCGAAGCGGAGCGGTCTGTCGGTTTGCAACGAGCACTTGACAGACAAGGAGATTGGACAATTCGACTTTGGCTCGCACACCATCGAGGGTCTCAAGATCACTCCTACCAACGATGGCATTGAAGAGGGTGCCGAGGTCCACACTCCAGGCGACACCTTTGCAGCTCTTGCTGCACTTACGCAACTTCTCGATAGTATTTTGGTCGAGTTTCACGCGGTGCAGTGCAGAAGAAATGACGGCTTTGCAGTTGCGCAGCGCGTCAGATCCTTCATGGTGGAGCTTGACGATTGGTGCGCACAGCTTCCGGACACGCTGCGCGCAGTCTTCAAGAATGACGCTAGCGCTTCCCGCGGTGCCGACAACGTGGCGGGGACAAGTGAGTGGCACGATCACAGGTCTAGCGTGCTACTCGGCTGAGACGATGTGATCGAACTTCCTTTTGCAGAAAGTCTACAGCTTTCATACTTTGGGGTGCTACTGCTTCTGTGTAGGACCGCACTCGACGCTGTGTCGGCTTCAGACACTTTCGACGAGACAAGAATTTTGCCCGCGCTTCGCACGGCTCTGCATGCTACCCAAATGGTGGTTGATTGGCTCGACGCGCTCGATGACCACGAGTTCAGTGACGGCTTCTTCCTGCCATGTGAGTCGCTTGAACAGTGCCTCGCGTGACTTCGCGCTGACGCCCGCGCACCCAGACTGCCAGCATCATCTTTCTGCATGTCTGTCGCTGCTGGCACGGCTTGCGATATCTTTTAATAGAATGCAGGAAGAAGCGCCGCTGCAGGCGGCTCTGGATAGTCTGCGACGCTTTCTGACCTTGTTGGCAGCGGCTCGTCGGAGACATTCTTGGGATCTTAGTGACCTCGCTCTGGGAAGGGCATCCCATCTCCGTCAGTGACATGCCCCTCTACTTGTGTCCACGTACTGACATCTCTTTTGCAACCGCAGTAACAATCTTGGAGAAGAAAATTCCCAATTTCCCCGCGCTGAGAAGCCTGATAGCGCCAACCGAGAACAAGACGACGACTACAACCATAGACACGCCGGTCCCTGCTCAAAGCAGCCCAGCGGTACCAACCCAAAGTCTTGTGCCTACAGAGAACCTGCAGAACTTTGGCGGACACACACTACTGGAAGACTCGATTGCGTGGTTCGACGCGCACGCGCACGAGTTAGGCATCTCGCTGCCGCACGTCAAGGTCGAGTCTGGCGACAGCCTTGGAGGTGGTACCGGCGCTTCGTCCTCCACCATGTCCAGCAGCAGCACGTCCGAGCTGCCCTCCGAGGCAATTGTAGGATCGTCTCTGCAGACGCCGCAGGCTTCATCGATGGGCGACAATGGCCAGCTGGCAGCTCAGACGCATTTAGCGCCCAGTAACGTGCTGAACCTCTTGTCCTCTGCATCCAACTTTAATTCTGGCGTGCCTTCGTACGGCGTGGGTCACGTGGTCGACGGCATCGACCCACACGGCGGGTCTCATCAAGATCCTTTTGCTGATCTTGGCTCTACAGATGGACCAGCTCTCATCAACCCTGACCCTTGGCTTACCAGCGTGGGCGCCGACATTTTGTTCAACACGTGAATCACGCATGCAGCCCGCCCATCACAAGCTTCGCTGCTCTTCAAGCGAGACGTGCCGAGTTTGCGTGATGAATGCCACTTTTGCATTTGCTTCCGTGCTGCTGCCATCATATCCCGTGCCCTAGTCAGCAAGCGCTGCCGTCCCGTCACCCATGCTACTCTCACGTTGCTGTAATACTAGATTTGCTCTCTTAACCTTGTAAATTTCAACAGATTAGGCCTGCTCTTCTCATATCTCGCGTGTGATGTGAGCAGGTGCGTCTCATGCTAGTCTCGCATCCAGCATCGATGACGTGGTTGCGTATGCACACGGCTCATTGTCTGGAGGAGGCTCGATCTTGCTTCACGTTGCGAGGATGCATTGTTACTGGCAAAGACAGGCAGACGCTCCTCTCAGCATCGCGAGGAAGTCATTGACCCGGCCCACTCGAAGTGAGAAAGTGCAGTGCGGCAATGGGCAGACTGGACAGGGCGGGCGAGAAAGGCGCCGCTGCTGCCACGAAACACGAAGCTTGCACACGCGTCAAGTCCGCTGAGATGTTGGCTTGTGGTGGATGTGACAATGTGTGGCAATCCTTCGACCAATGCAGGCTTCCTGTCGCTCGCGACAATCGACATCCCCAGAAGTACCCGCGGGCGGCGGGCGAATCATCGGCTACGCAAGCCTTTGATCCAAGACTTGAAGCTCGCGCTCCTCTCTACTCTTTGCGTTTGCGCATCGTCTCGTGGGGCGTCTCGATGCGTGCACTTCGGGCTGATCCTTTCGCTTTCGCTTTCGCTTTTGCTTTTGCTTTTGCTTTTGCTCGGATTGCATTGCACATCATTGTGCATGTGCGCCAATGATGATGAAGCTCTGTTCGCTTGCCATGACCGATCGGCAGCTTGTAGCTCCTTGGTCGATACTCGTTGTGAGGGGTCAAGGAACTTTGCGCCGGCTGGAT